ATACGTTGTACATACATAGATACAAACATACATACATACATACGTACTACTATTATACCTTGTACAAGCCAAAAACCTCAACAAAAATAATCAAAGTATCAAATAGAAAGAACTACAACAACACAAACAACTGCTAAATGTTACAAAAAAAATTTATTATATAGCTCATATTTAAACATTTGTTATTGTAAAAGATACTTAAACACCACCACTTAATATAAAACAATCTACAAGATACAAATTATAGACATTTAATGCTCAATCTTAGTTTTACTCTCTCTTCTTTTTTGTTTGTTTCTTTGTTTGTGCATGTTTGTGTGTATGTGTAAGAGTTTCACATACTCTTGCTCTCCCAATTTGTAAATTGTTTTAATAAGGAACCATTTGGTACCTTTGGGTTTCTGTATTAAGTACTTTTATTTTAGCCAAAAAGTACTTTTATCTGCCGTTGGCAAAATGCATTTTTTATAACGGCACTTTAGTACAAAACGGAAGAGATTATTATGGATTTTACTTAAGAAAATCTTTAACTTAAATTTTAAGCTATTTGGATTTTAATTATGACTTTTGAGGTGATTTAAGGATTGGGTAAATATTACAGGATCCTGTTGAAAATGTTGATTTTTGTTTCAGTTTAATGATCATTAAGTGTGTGGTAATATGTTCGGTTATATTGGGGAGTTCCGACGGTTATTAAGTTTGAATTAAATTTTGGGTTTTTATTTAACTTTTAGAAATTTAGTTTCGAACGTTAGATTTACACTAGAATTGTAGAAGATCATTGAATTTAATGGAATAATTTTAAGTAGTGTTGGACTTTTCGGTTAATTATTCAAAGTTTTCATTTATGATTTTGTGAAGATTCATTAGATAAAAACAATTGATTTTTAAGTTACAAAAGAAAACGCTTGCCATTGGCGAATACTCTTTGAGATCTTTAGGTTAACTGATATTTAATAAAGGACCTAGATCGGAAGATACCATATGATATAAGAAAGTTTTAAGTTTTTTTATTTGCTATCTATTAATAAAGACCGTGATCAGGCGATCTTATAAAGATGTTGACGGTTTCATACATTCCATTACATCAAAGAACAGAATCAGTATAAACTCACATTTAATAAAGAATCTATACCAGAGGCTAATAATGATGAAGAAGGGTCTGGGGGTTTATTATTTTCCATCCAATGATCTTCAACTTCCATTGATCTTCTTCAATTAGCATCCAGGCTGAAAACGATCTATGGATGCCAGCTGATCTTTTAAGAAGACTGAATAATAGACCTTGATCTGGCGATCTTATAAAGATGTGGAGGGTTTCATACATACCATTTCATCAAACAACAGAAACAGTAAAAACTCACATTTAACAAAAAATCTAGACCAGAGGCCAATAATGATGAAGAAGGTTCTGGGGGTTTATTATTTTCTATCCAATGATCTTCAACTTCAATTGATCTTCTTCAATTAGCTGAAAACGATTTATGCGCGCCAGCTGATCTTTTAAGAAAACTGAAACTTTATATGATTTTTTATCATTATATAGAGGAATTCGTAGTCAAGTAGTCTGACAAACTTTGAACTGAAATTAAACTTTTTGCATTGAACAAATGTTCCATTTTTGATAAGTTCTTAGTGCAGTAAGGCCGTATTATTTATTGGTTTAAAATTGGTGTTGTGATGAGTTCGGTATTGATTTCGTGCATAAAACTTCTGTTTGGAACGCTCATAGTTATCCGATCTTTTACGTTCAGTTTATCATAGACCTCTGAATGGTGTCCGAATTCTTTTGGCTTAATATCTATCTACTTTGTTAGATCGATTTCATAAAGTTTGAATTATTTAATATTTGGTACGAAAATCCGACACTGGCGATAAATATGGGAGTGAGGGAATAGAGAGAGCACTGCTACATAGTCTATGAGATCAAGTTCAAAGTCCTGAACGGGCCCTAATGCTTAAATAGTGTTTGTATTGTGTACGAATTCTTCGGTGTTATCAGATGGTTTTGCTAATGGATCTGTAAAAGTTTGAATCATTTAATATTGCATATATGATGATAAGAACATGTTATATTGTACTCAGTCTCTTATATGAGACTGAGTGAATAGAGTGCTCGATTATATTGACCATGTGACTAAGTTCAAAGTCCAAGTTAGAGCCAAATACATAGATGGTGACACTGTATCCGCAGCAAGACAAACGGATAAGTGTTAATGCATCTTAAGGGTCTCTAAGTCCGCTTATAGACCTTTAAACTTTTTGGTTCTTTCTCTGTTCTCTTTATCATAGACTCCTGAATGGTGTACAAATTCTTTTGCTTTATCATCTGATTCGGCTAATCGTTGTCATAAAGTTTTAAACATTTAATATAGTAAATTCTCACTGTCGGTTACGGTTATTCAGATTTATAAGATCAAATAGAGAGTCCCGAATGAACCCACAAGCTTAGAAAGTCTTTGGATTGTAAATCAACATGAGACTGAAGGAATAGTGTTCTCGACTATGTTGTCTATTTTAACAAGTTCGAAGTCCGAGATGGAGTCAAAAGCGTAGACACAGTTCCCGCTGTAAGACAAACGGGAAAGGGCCAATGTACCTTAAGCGTCTATGAGTCCTATTTCGATAAAAGTTTGTTATTTGAATGTCATTTTCATGAACAATATCTTATAGTATCGGTACTCAAACCCCCATTTCAATTAGAGCGAGAACCGATTATTTAATTTTTTTTCAATGAATACAATACTGCGCCAATTAGTTCCAGCTGGTCAAGACTTATTTTGCTTTTGACAAATTTTTCTGAATTACAGCTTTGTATTAGCAATTTGAAACCTAACAAACTGCGGTTGCAATTCATAATTTTGGTTGCTCAAATCAAATCATCAAAAAAAGGCGGACGGACGAGCGACTTAGACAACTTTCTATAAGTTTCTATTAATTCCGATATTTTCTGAATGAAAGTGATTTCTACATAATTTTCTGCCATTAAATCATGAAAAGAAGTGAAAGTTTTTGTTGCTTCAATTTCCGTAAACGAAATCATGAAAAGAAGCGTACGAAAGACGGACGTGCGTTTTAATCTTCTAAAGCCCTTTTCGGGGGTTTACGTCAAATCGCTTGTCAACATCAAATGCGAAATTTCTATTTTTTTCCCGGGTTTTTCTGTGTGAATAATGAAAATTGGGTCCATGGTATTTACTAGTGTTAACGCTTCCGCGGAACGAATGTACTTTCAAGCAAAATGAAAATCTTTCCGTAGCTAACCCATAATTTTTATTTTGAAAATAAAATGGATCGTTCCGAAACCAACGATTTTACTCAACATCAACTGATTATATAGCCCGTCAAAGAACGGATTTTTGAACTTATTCCAATAACAACAAGCAGTTGATCTTAACTACAAACCGGGAAGTTTACTAGTTTTATTCTAATTTTCTAAATTTGAAACTGATTTATACTTCAGTTTGTATCTTCTTATTTGAAAATTTTCTTCAATCAACACCCTAGTGCTTTTAAACATTTACCACTAAAAAGTACCCAATTTAGTACCAACAAATAGCCAAAAAGTACCCTTATTTTTACCCATTTAAGTACATTTTTCTAATAAAACACAAATAAAATGCTCTTTTTACCTTACAAATTAAAGCTCTTGCTCTCTTAATAATATACTCACCCTCAGACATTTGGCTCTCACTCTATCGCTCACTGTATAAATAAAACGTATCTATGTTGCATAAATGTGTTCTGTTCATGGTATTAGTAAAAGTATCTGTGTTTTTATTTGAATTGTTGTTGTTGTAGTTGTTGTATCTGTTCCTGTGTAGTGTAGTATTGTTAAGTCGTCACAACAAATGTTCATTCACCATCATATCAACAACATCATCATCATTATTATTATTATTGTTATTGCTTGCTTGCTTTCTTGCTGGCTGGCTAGCTGGATGTCTGTTTGACTGACTGGCTTGATATCTTTTGGCAACAACTGTAAGTAGTATCTGTGTGTACAAATGACTGACTGAGTGAGTGAGTGTGTGTGTGTGAGTGGTTTTTTTTTTGAGGAGCAAGAGTGGTGGTGGTAGTTGTTGTAGTAGTAGTCTTTTTTATTTTTGTTTCTGTTGTGTGTTTTTTTTGTTGTTTTTCTACTGTTCTCTGTTTTGTTTTTGTATTTCAATTTCTAGTTGTTGTTGTTGTAGACATGTTTTAAAGCTGTGTGTGATGTTGCTGCTTATGATGTTGTTGTTGCTGTGTTGTGTCGTGTTTGTCGTGTAATTCCCATTTGTTGTACACCACCACTTTGTACATGCTCAAGTAACCCATGTTAGTCTACTTTTGACTGTTACGCAGATTGTTCGTTCGTGTCGTCCGTTTGTTTTTTCCCTTCAGAAAAAAAAAATTATTTCTTACTCTAAAAAAAAGAAGAAAAAGAAAAATATATAAAAATTTCTACTAGCAGTAAGAAGAAAAATAATAAAACGTAAAGCAAGAAGAAAACGTACGCTCGCTCCTACAAAATACGCTTTTTGTTAAAGAAATCAAACAACAACCGTTGTCGTTAATATACAAAAAAAGCTGGATTTAAGTGTTAAATTAAAAAAAAAAAATATTAAAACAAAAATTAATTAAATAAATTTCTTAATAAATTTATGGTGGATTTACAATAAAAATATAATAAATATTTCATAACCAAAGATTGAATACATAGAAAAAATATTCGTCAGCAAATTGCCGCCGGTGTTATTATTTATAACAAAAAAAGTGTTTTTTAACAAAAAGAAAATAGTTTTCCCAAAAAAAAAGAAAATGTTTTTATAATAAATTTTTATAAAGAAAGGATTTTTATTTTCTTAATAAAATCCTTGCATTAAAAGAATTTAAACAAATTTTTGTTCAACTGCAGAAAAAAAGCAAAATATTTTTTTGTTACTTTTTATTTAAAAATTTATTTGAAAGAGTTTAATTGTTTAACAATTTGTTGGTTTTGTGTGTAAACTCTATATTAAATGACAGTGCATAGTAATGAAAGTGGTGTGTGTTTAGTAATGGTGTGTATATTATTTTTTTTTTAAATTTTTTTATAAAAATTATTTTTAAGTTGAAAAAAAAAAGACTTTTTCTAGAAAGCAATATCAAACATAGTGCTTAAACTTGCCCGATTTTTATAGGGAACTTTTATGCAAATATTGTTTTAGAAAAGAAAGTGTTTGGTTTTAAAACTACTAAAGGAAATTTGGATACTTTTTGAATTACTTGCCTTTGGATAACTAGAACTTCCGAAAACTTGAAATGGATTTATCAACTTGTCATACTACGATATTGTCTATAAACAGTGTTTAACTTTATATTAATATATAATCAAGGTCTTTATGTTTGACTTCCTCGATTCTATAAATAGTTTAAAAAGAAATCTGAATCTGAAACTTCCAAAAACTTTAAAAGCTTTCTAATGATCAATTCATCATTCTCCGTTATTGTCTATTATCAGATTTGATCTTTACCCATGCCTGCTATGAAGTTCTTTAAGTTTAACGCTCTCGAGCCTCTGGATTTTGCCTTAAATCAAATTGTTTTAAAAGAAAATAAAGTTTTTTAAATATTTACTGTTTTCAATTCAAAATTTTTCAAATATATTTTGAAAATTATAAATTTTTCTTCATAAAAAAAACTAAAAAATGAGTTTTCATTCTCCTGACAATTGGATTTTAATACACTCTTTTTGAGTCCCCAAGATTTAAGGAACTATAGTGAAGTGATCTGTTGAAAATTTTCAAATAAGTTCTATTTTTTGGTTTGTCCGCTGGATTTTGAGTGATTCTTCTAAAATTTTATCTTCCTTTTGTTTTTAAGAGCTTTTAAAAACTCTAGCCAAGTGTTTTGGTGAAAAATTTGTTTGAGAGTTTTACTAACATAAAAAGATTAACTCAATGCTTGCAAAGTTATTTATACATCTTGGTTCGAAGGACCAAAAAAGTACTTTTTGTTGCAAATAAGTTATTTTTGTTGTTGAATTTTATAAGATTTTAGAAACAGTAGTGAAGCGATTGGTTGAAAAATATGAAAATATGAAGATTCTAAATAAATAACCCTTGACAAGTGAAAGCTTTTTCTAAAACTTGATTTCATAAGATTTTAGTTTTAATAGTGAAGTGATTTGTTATAAAAATTTTAATGAAAATTCAAAATAAGTTCCATTTTGAAAAAGTATTTTGTTTTTCTTTTAATTTCCAAAAAGACTTTTGGATTTAACAGTTAAAAACTTTAAAGCTCTATAAATTTATAACTTTTTATCAAATGATTTCCTATTTCTAGTCTAATCATTCCTTCCCTTTAAGGGAACAAGTAAGATCTGGTTTCCTATGCTTAGAAAAGCTTTGAGCTGGCGAAATTTAAAGCCATAACATAAAGCGCTAAACATAAAGAGATTACTGTAAAGCTTTTTTAAAAAATGGTTCTTCGAGCCATAAATTATAGACAATTTCTTTTTGTTGTTGTTATAGACATGTCAATTTTTAGTCTCATCATTCCTTCTCTCTAAGAGAACAAGTATGATTTGGTTTTTATGCTTAAAAAAGCTTTTCTTTGAGATTAACCTAAAGCTTTTTTTAAAAAATGGTCCTTCGAGCCAAGGTGTATACACAATTCCTTTTTGTTGTAGACATGTCAATTTTTAGTCTGATCATTTCATTCCTTTACGGGAACAAGTATGATCTGGTTTTTATGCTTAATAAAACTTTTGTTTGAGATTAACCTAAAGCTTTTTTGAAAAAATGGTCCTTCGAGCCAAAATATATAAACAATTTCAAAAACAATTCTTGTTTTAATTCAAAAGATTTAAAGCCTTCAACATAAAGAGATTGACTCTAGCTTAAAACTGTTTTTAAGCTTAAAAAAGCTCTTGTGGGCTAAATTTTAAAGCATACCATAAGGCGCTAAACATAAAGAGATTAACTCAAGCTCTTTTTCTTTAGAAATTGTCCTACAAGCCAAACTTTTTTCAATTTAAATCAATTTAGTTGAAATTCAATAGATTTCTTACTCATTAGATGATCATCTCAGAATTTGGGTCATAAGTGTGTCCCCAGCTTCAGTACCCTTAAGTTTTTCTAAACGTATTTCAACCTCTTTATAATGTCTTTGATCATGAAAATTTAAACATTTATAAAACAGTTTAAAGCTTTTATCCATAATATTTTATTAAAAGTTTATAAATCAAAATTTTCATAAAAAATTTGTGCTATAAACCTTTGATAAATATTTTATAAATATTTTACTTTCATGTATATTATAAAACTATACCTCATACACATAAATAATTTAATCAAACATAAAAAAATTATATAGTTTAAACACAAAATGGCGTAACAAATGAAAAAAAAAATTAAATAAATTTTAGCGTAAATCATTTAAAATAAAACAAAACCGTAAAACATGAGTTAAATAATCAAAATAATTTGTTTTTGCCAAAATTTAAGTAACGCCCCATTTCAGCCATTTCAATTGACTTGAGGTGAATTCGTAACATAAAACCTCAATATTTGTTATTATAGTGTTTTTTTTTGATAAGTGTATAAATTAATGTTTTTTGGCGTTTTTCTAAACTAAAGAATTTCAAATAATTAAACTTGTTTTTAGTTTTTTTAACATTTTTTTAAAATTATTTTGGCAGCAGCAAATAACACAAGTTTTTATATATTTTGGGGTTGTTTCAAAATATTGTAAATTGCTACTGTAAACAATTGTTCCTATACATATGTATATACCTCTCTATGTCTGCCTTGGGTATCTATTTAACTCATTATATATTAGTCTATATATGTTATATATGATGTTATTTGTTGTTATTTTCTACATTGTTATCTTAAAGCAATTCAACCAACAAGTTGTTTGTGCTAAATGATTGTCATGTAGTTAATAGTAGAACAAAAACACAAATTCTCTACAATACTGTCTCTCTACCCGGCTACAAAGTGTTTGTAGTTCATTTATTGCAAATGCTTTCAGTTTAATTGATTTCAATCGAATTGTTTTGCCAAGCAAATAACTTGTACAACGAAAAAAAAATTTTAAAAAATCTTTTTCTACAAAAACAAGTTGTAAAATTGAAATTCATTATTTTTTGTACATTTAGTGTAGTAGCATATTTCAGTTAAACAAAAAAAAAAAAAAAAACAAAAAAACAACAAAATTTTTAGTGTTTTATTTTAATTGTATCGATATGAAAATTGTTGCCAAATTAAGTTTATATATTATTTGTTGTTAACAAAACCTATTAATAACAAGCAGAAATAAAATCTTTTTTAATTAACTAAGTAATAAAATTTTAATTGTAAACAAATTTTTAAGAATTTTTTGGGGGATTTTTATTATTAATTTTAAATGAAATGTTTAGTTATAAACATCAAAAAACTTAATGTTATGGTTAATTGTAGCAATCAAATTTCAATCAAAATATTTAATAATTTAAAGAAAATTTCAAAATATTAGAAATTGTGAAATATTTTCAGGAAACAAAATTTTTAATAAGAAATTTGCTTTAAATGAAATCAAAACTGATTTTTCAGTTATTAATTTTTTTCTCTTTGGTCCTTCATTTCTAAAGTTAACCAAACAGCTGTTTAAATGTTTTGTGTAGCATAGTTTAAGGCTCAGCTTCTGAATCATTTTGCTTAGATATTATTGTGATAAATTTCTTTACTTTATAAAGAACAATAACATTTCTATTCTCTTCTGTTCTTTTTTTAGAAAAACTGGTCCTTTAGCCTTAAATTAACCTAATTACAGTTTAAAAGTTTAGGTATAGCATAATTTAAGGCTTAAATTGTTAACATTAAAAAATCATTATTGTGAATTTCTTTGAACTGTTTCTCTTACTTCTTCTTAAAGCTAAACTATTGTCTAGTTTTAAACTTAATCTTAATTATAAACTCGATTTTAACTTAGTTCTTTATTTTACAACTCTCAATAACATTTATTGCATACTTTAAGGCCAAAAAGCTTATAAAAACTATATGGTTAAAAATCAATAGTTTTATTAAATACTAAAGTTAAAAGGAACACCTTTAGCTGGTGCTAAAACAAATTAATCTTAATTTTTAATTTAGAATTTAATCAAGTTTAAATATTTTCATTTCTATAGAACATGTTAAAGCATACTTTTAGGCCAAAAAGCTTAAACGAACTATTTACCAGAAAATTATAAACATTTTCTTAAGATTCTTTTTACATCTTCTAAAAGCTGAAGTTTTATCTAGTTACAGTTTAAGTTAGTCTTAATTATAAACTCGTTATTAATGGGATTCTTTATTTTTACACTACTTAATAACATTTACTGCATACTTTAAGGCCAAAAAGCTTACACTTACACTATAAACTAAGTTTTCAAATACTATTAGTAAACTGAAATTTTACCTTGTGCTAAACCAAAAAAAGTTTAAATTAATCTTAATCCTTAGCTTCAAGTTTAATCGGGTTTGAATATTTGAATACTAATAAAACTTTTTTAGCATACTTTTAGGCAAACAATTATTTACCGAAAAATTATAAACATTTTCTTAAGTTTCTTTTAATAGCTTTCATTTGCTTTGTTTTCTCCTTAATTCGTTACCTAGGATCTGGGAACCCTTTAAACCAACTGTTTGCTTTCTTTTAAACAAAATATTGTTGCATATTTTTAAGGCTTTAAGGAAACAATATTGTTTATACTTTAATTCTAAAAACAATAAAATACTTTAAGGAGCTTCAAAGTTAACTTAAGCTTTTATTGACTTTTAAAGCTTAAATGAATCCAAGTTTGCTAACAAAACTTTGGTGAAACTAATTTTGATTTACCTTGAATTTTTTAATATCATTTGAACTTGATTTTGTTCTCATTTTGTTTGAACTGAAGTTAAAAATTAAACTTTTCTGTAATAAAAGCTTTATTAAACGAACTGTTTTTGTTTTTAATAACAAAAAGCTTAATCTCAACTTAAGTTAAATACTATTGAAACAACTGTTCCCCAGTAACATACTTTCAGAAGCTTAAAGTTTGCTAAAATTTATAAAGCTTCAATTAAGCTTCTGAAAACTAATTTGACATATTGAACAGCCTAAGTTTAAACCACGTTTAATTAAGCTAGAAAACTAAACAGATCAGGAAAAGGAATAAATATATTAGAAGCAAATCTGTTTTAGCAAACTATTAATTAAACTTAGATTAATATACATAATAGCTATTATATGATTTTCCTAAGCTTAAATTAAGCTTCAGAAACTGGTTTAAACCAGGATTAATTAGCTAGAAATCTAAACTAATCAAACAAATCTGGTCAATTAAACTTAGATTAACATTAATAATAGCTTTTACATATATGATTTTCTGAAGCTTAAATTAAGCTTCACAAAATTAATTTCAAATTGAACAGGCTAAGTTTAAACCAGGTTTAATTAAGCTAGAAATCTAAACTAATCAGAGAAAAGGAAATAAATCTGTTTTAGCTAAACTCTCTATTAAACTTAGATTAACATAAATAATAGCTTTTACAAGATTTGCTTAAGCTTTTTCGTTTACTAAGGGATTTCTCAATATTTTGCCTAAAAACCAACATTTTCAAGTAATGCAACCTATGTTTAATTCAATGCCAAAACCTAACATTAGAATTCTTTAACACTTAAAATGTTTTGTTTTTTTCTTCTATTTTTTTAATTTAATTTCAATTTCGATAGGGACTGATTATTAAACAGATTAAGGCGGCATTTTTTACTTTAAACCCTTACAACAGCACAAAACAAAGCATACATATGTATATGTATGTATAGGACAAATAAACAAAAAACTGTTAAAATTATCTCTCAATCTAAAGAAAAGATTAAATATAAACAAAACGCCGGTTATTAAAACCAAACAAAACAGATCTAACCATCTACTACATATACAACAACACTTATAAACAAAAAATTCAAACTCTAGAAAATTGATAAAATTAAACGAAAAATCATATTAAAACTAAACTAAAAGTGTTGACAATAAAATCGTAAAAAAACTGGAATAAAAGAAAGAAACCTCCTAAATGTAGGGATAACGGCTGGCTGACAATGTAAACAATTTTTAGTTTAAATGTAACATTTGAAAACGTCAAATGGTTTATTAGAGTTGTTGGTATAGAGTTTAGCTGAAGTGGTTGTTAAAGCAATTGTATGTATAATTTAAAATCATTGATGTCAATCGTTTAGATTTACAATTTCCAAGACAGCAATAGTTGCCAGCCAGTCAGCCAGCCAGCTAGCAATGTTGTACGTCTTATTAACGTAGTAAACCCTTTAGGTTAGGTATAGGAGCAGAGAGAGAGGGGTGGGGGGTTGTTATATGAACATGATTTGTCGGCTTTTATTAAAAACATATACTCGTTGTAAATTGTATACTTTAGATGTTTAATCATTGATATATGTATTTGCTTAAGCCAGAATATAAGTAAGTAAGTAAGTAGTGATTTGTTTGTTTGTTTGATTTTTATTTTTAAATTTCTATAGACAAACAACAACCCTTTTTAGGTGTTGAGCAGCTAAAGAGTAGTAACACCAGTTAACGATTTCTTATCATTAAAACTATTGACAAGCAGCAAAATAGTTATAAGAGATAAGCTTTTTTTTTAAACAAGCTAGATACTTATAAAATTACACACGAGTTTGTGTTAATTAAAAATGTAGTTATTTATTTTAAAATAATAACAAATAAATAATTATTATTTTTCTTTAATATTTCTTACAGAATGCCGTTTCAACTCGACCAAGTGCATCGCCCACCTCCACACAAACACCTTTGCATCAGAGCCTACAGACCCAACCTACAAATTTAAGCACCAACAGTCATACGCATAGCACACAACAGCAACAGCAACAAACTTCACTTTCATTAAACGCCACTGCAGTTGCCGCCGCCGCCGCTGCAGCAGCTGCTGCTGCCGTTGTAGCCGCCGTGCCGTCTTCAACCGCCTCCCTAACCACGCCCTCTGTTGCCAACGCAATGGCTGTAACATCAACTGTACCGCCGGGCGCGCGTTCCGTTTCTCCCGCCACTCCCTACAGTTCATCATCGTCCGCCTTGACATCTAGCGGTCCCGGTTCAGCGGCCGGTGGTCCACCACCCACATCAGTATTACCTGGCCCTTTGGCACCGGGTTCAACGGGTGCTCCACCGCCGCCTCCCACACCCGGTGCACCGGGTGCTCCTTCATCGGGTAATCGTTGCTGTGATACGGGTCGTACAATATATACAGATCCTGTTAGTGGTCAAACATTATGCTCCTGCCAATACGATATGTTAAGTTATCAAAGACTAGCGGCCGCCGGTGGTCTAGTAGCGGGACCTGGTGGTGTGCCTTTGGGCGTCTATCCCGAGGGTATGTCAGCGTATTTGTCGGGTATGGGTGCTGAACAGCCGCAATTTTATGCAAATCCGGTAAGTGTTTATTTATTTATTTGAAATTTTTAAAATTTTAAGAGAAACTCTTAGCAATTTTAAGAGTTTTGTTTAGAATTCTTAAATTTCTGAGGAATTTAAACAATTTCTAGGGAATTTGTTAAACAAATATTTCAGACCCTTTAAATTTAAAACTTATATTGGCTCGTGCTGTTTATTTAAGTGGTTTTGAAAATCATGTTTTAGGCACAACAAAAACATATGGCGTTTTTGAAATTAACATTTGAAAGAAAATTTTCAAGAAATCCTCTAGAGTCTAGACTAAAACAGAACATGTTGTTGAACACTTTTTCAAATGTTAAATGTTTTAAAACAATATTTTTTCCTAATTTTTTTTTTTTGTATTAAAAGCAAAATTGTTGTTGATTTCTTTTTTAACATTTTTAACCAAAAAATAATGTCATTAATTTTATGTTTTTTTATATTGTGATTTTATTATTTTTTCTGTGTTTTTTTTTTCTTCTGAACATAACAAAATTTTTTTTTTTGGTTTATATCAAGCTCGTTAAATTTTTTGGTTTTTTGTAGCTTTTTTCTTAAACGTTTTTAATCACCTTTTTTGTGGCCAAAAGAGAAAAAAAAACTTAACATCATTTTGGTACTGTGTTGATTTGTTGAAAAAACGCCTGAAAGACAATTTATTGATTTTAATTTAATTTTATTATTATTTTTTTTTATACATTTTTGTGCATATAATTTGTTATGCAAATTATTTTTTATGTTTATTTGTTTAAAGTTTAAACAATCAGCAAATTTTATTGTTCAAAAAAAAAAAGCCCAAAAAGAGAGGTGTATCTGAAACAACTGTTTAAAAACTTGTTTACAGTTCAAGAGTTTTGGATGGAAGTTTAACCCTTAGACGTTTATTAAAGTAAATAAGCTTTAAGCTGTTACTGTTAACAAGTTTCAGGTTTAACCCTTAGACGTTTATCATAACAAATAAGCTTTAAGCTGTTACTGTTAAAAAGTTTCAAATTTGGATACTTCAGTAATTTAATTGCTGGCTTGTTAGTAACTTTCACCTTTAGTTTAAAGCTTCAAAGCTTTACAGTTCAAGAGTTTTTGCTGAAAGTTTAACCCTTAGACGTTTGTCAATGTAAAAAAGCTTTAAGCTGTTACTGTTAAAAAGTTTCAGTTTTGGAAACTTCAGCAATCTAATTTGCTTGCTTGTTAGTAATTCTCAGCTTTAGCTTAAAGCTTTAAGTACGATTAGATTAGAAAAACTTGTTTATAGTTCAAAACTCTTGAAATGGAAGCTTAATAAATAAGCTTTAAGCTGTTTATGTTAAAAAGTTTCAAATTTGGACACTTCAGCTTCACTTGTTAGTAACTTTCAGCTTTAGCTTAAAGCTTTAAATACGATTAGATTAGAAAAACTTGTTAACAATTCAAGAGATTTAAGTTTAACCCTTAGACTTTTATCATAATAAATAAGCTTTAAGCTATTACTGTTAAAAAGTTTTAAATTTAGACACTTCAGCAATCTAATTCGCTTGCTTCTTACTGACTCTATGCTTTAGCTTAAAGCTTTAAGCACGATTACATTAAAAAAAAACTCTTAGATCTTCATCAAAAGAAATAAGTTTTAAGCTGTTACTGTTAAAATGTTTTAGATTTAGACACTCCAGCAATCTAATTTGCTTGCTTGTTAGTAACTCTTAGCTTTAGCTTAAAGCTTTAAGCATGTTATCAAGTTTAGCTATATTGCCACGCCTTTTTGCTTTATATTAAAAGTGTAAACTTTTTAAAATGTTTTTAGCTCCTTTAAGGGTTAATTTTAATTAAAACGTTTAAAGCGTCTATTGTTTTCTAAACATAAAATTATTAAAAATTTATCTATTTAATATTGATGGAATTTTAAAATATTTATTACATAAATATTCTACTCAACACCCCTATATACATAGTTTGTTAGAAATTATTGAAATTATTTCCATTTTTTTATTTCAAAATAAAATGTCATTTCCCGCGTGCCTTCATTTGTAATTAATTTTATTTTGAAAAGTAATTTTATGCTTTTTTGAAGGGGACCTGCCGTTTTCAAACCTGCTATAAATCATTCTACATATAATTAGTCATTTAAATATTTGAGAAATTGGAAAATTTATTAGAATAAAAAATTGAAGAAGGGGGGGGGGGGGGGGGGGGTGACATATATAAAATGGAACAATTTTTCATGGCCATTACAAACTAAAGAAGCAGCAGCAGTAATAGCAACTAGACATCATTATCAAATGTCATAGAGACTTAAAGAAGTCATTACTTTGACATCACATGTCACTTTGAGCATAAGGCATATAAAAACATTAAACGGAAAAAAATGAGAACATTAAACTAAATTTAAAGAGACACCGCCGCCGCCTTTTTAAATTATACACAAAAAAAATATTTCTTGAAAACTGTAAATCTTATTAGTTTAGCATATTAAAGCCTTATTAATAAATTTGTCAACACAACAAGCGGTGACAGCATGTGTGTGTGCGTACAGCTTCATTCTGATAGTCTTTGGTTCCTTGAGGTGTTTTATAAACATTTGTGGCATATGGTTTTGGGGAGATTTTCATTCATCTTTAACTTGTTAAAGCAAATAAAAACATTTTTTAACACTTTTTCTGTTGTTTAAAAGGCAAAATAAAATTGTTTTTTTCGAATGCCTAGAAAAAGAAATTAAAAAACACTTAGTTTGTGTTTAATGTGGCGCCCTAATTTGTTGAAAATTTTTAGAAATTTTTACATAATTCCCTCAACACCTTTAAACACTTGATGTTTTTTCTAACACTTAAAGTGTTTTCGTTTTTTTTGTAAAAAAAATTTTATTTAAATTGATTTTTTTTATAACAAATCAAAATATTATAACAAAGCAAACTTTAAAACCACTTGAATTTTGTTAGTTTTACCCTAAAAAAATAAAATTCAATATGGTTTTTTAAAACTCTCCCTTAAAGTGGCCAAAAAAAGAACTCTTTAAAACATAAACATGTGTCTGTTAAACACTCATATGAGAGTCGTTTTTATATCCTTAAGGGAGTAAAGCGAAAAAAACGTTATTTCTACAAAAGCCCCTCCCTGTTCTCGTTAAGAGCACACAAAAAAGTAACTGTAACATTGTTGAAACTAACCACCATTGTTGTGTAAAATAAGCAAAAAAGGACTAAAAGCTAAAAAACCCCACAAACCTTTATAACAAATTGTGTTATTCTTTTTTTGGCGTTAAAGTCTAATCATCAAAAAAGCGGCAGCAGGGTTGGCAATGTGAAATTGTCAGCTATTTATGCATAGATTTTGTTGATATTCAACTGTCATATTCTGCACACTATGACCATTACATATGTTTATCATATATTTATTCAAAGTTAGCGCCAGGCTTAGAAAATTAGTTTTCTTAGTTTCAACTTTTCCAACCCTGCTTTCAGTTTTTTTTTTGGGGGGTTATTGTAAAGCTAAGAAAAGTGTTATTTTAACATACACAAACAGTGATTTGTCAAAGTTTGTTATGGCCAAATATTACAACAATACAACGGAAAAGGAAAATAAAAAGCTGGAGAAGAGCAAAGCACAAAAAAAATGGCTTAAAGCAAAATATTGCGGTTAAATAAATAGTATTTTTAAGCCAAAAACCCATTAAGGAAATAGTAATAAAAAAACTGTTACTAAAAACCTAAAGACTTTAATAAAAAACAAAGTAATTTTCTTTAAAAGCTTTAAGCTTTAAGTTTCAAAACTTAACTAACTTAAAATAGTTGCAAAATAATGATTTAAGAAACAAAGTTTAGTTTCTTTGGACATTTTTATGTGTAACATCGTAAATATCGGTAAAAGGTTAGACCGCTATCAGATCTGGTGTAGTCTTCTTTACAGGGAAATTTGCTTAAAAGAAAGTGGATTACCCTTAAAGAGTATCAAAGAACTATTTACTTAAAATTCTCTAATCATTGTTTTCTAGGGATGTTATATCGCCCCAAAATTGTTGAAAGCTACTTTCAACTCTATCCTCACCACATGCTCTGCATTTTTCACATTTCTCTAGTCCAATTTTGTGAGTTGTGTACTTGTGTAGCTTAAAATTTACTTAAAACTTCTTACCTTTTAATAAGATCACTAGAACTAGTTACGTAACTGGTTACATATTATATATATATATATATATTTTAGAAGTTTTACTACTAGTTCTGAAAGCTTTCTCAGTAATCAAGATTTTGTTGCTATTACGTCTTCGAGAAAGCTTTTGATAGTACTGTTGGAACTAGTTATATGACTGGTTCTTTGGGTAAAGACAATCAAGCAAAAATGCTTTTGTTATTGCTACTTGACAAAAGCTTTCTTGCAAGCATTACTAGCACTTTTGATAGAGTACTAGAACTAGTTACATGACTGGTTCTATAGGGATATTTTAGTAGTTTTACTATTAGTTCTGCAAGCTTTCTTACATTGTAATCAAGCTTTTGTTGTTATAACGACTAGGAGAAAGCTTTTGATAGCACTGTTAAAACTAGTTACATTACATACTGGTTCTTTGGGTAAAGGCAATCAAGCAATAATGCTTTTTTATTATTGCGACTTGGCAAAAGCTTCCATTACTGGTTCTTTGGCCTCCTTTCCCGACATTGTTTTAGTAGCTTCCAGGAAGAAGATTTCTCCGAGCTCTCTCAGCAATGAAACTCTCTCGCCATAATGGGCTTTTTATACCAATAAGTTATTTAAACAAATCAATTACAATTCGCTATTTATCTGAAACTAATGCATGAATCCTATCTCAAAGATCATTTAACTAAAAAAATTTCGTTTGAAAATTACCCAACATTTCCTCATTTTAAACTCAAACACATTTGACCTCTAACAATTTTCCCCTGCAACAACAACAACAACTTGATATTTTACCTATTTTTTTCATCTTCATTGACGATTAAACAAGATTAAAATCTTGAAAATTAAATATTCAAACTTTAACAGACTACAACTACAACTATAGTTAAATTTACAAATAAAATAGTTAAACATTAACCAAAAATTGCGACATTTGTTAAGGAAAATAGAGAGAAAATCCAATATATTACACAAGACGCCAGAGAAAATTATTATGACCCAGACGGAGACATTTCAGGGACCTTTTTCTTTCTTTCTCTCTAGACTATAAGAAAGCAACAAGACAAATCATCATCATTATCAGACAATTTATGGTGGTTTTGTAATGTGTACAAACATACAGACACCCAAAAAAAATTTGAAAAATATTTATAACTATCAGTTTTTAAAAATCTTTTAATAGTTTGCTACAAACACACAAATTGTTATACTCTCATTATGTATCTTTAAAGTTGCTGCAATGTCTTGTTGTTATTGTTGTTGTGTTTAAATACTTGTTGGTTGTGTGCAAAACCAGAGTGTAAAGTGTTCACAGCTTGATATCCAGACATTTTAACTGTGTTAAGGGAATATGTTTAAATATTGATTATGTATTAAGTAAATACTGCAACAACAACTACTGGATTTTTAAATGTTTTTAAATTACTTGTTAAAACATTGTCCCATTATTGTTATAATATTGCATTGATTTTTTTTTTGAAATATTGAATGAATTTTTAATGTAAATAGAATTTTGTCTGGTTTTTGTAATTGATTTTCAAGGGTTTTTAATAGTTTTTGTCCCATTTGGAAATTATGTTGTAAATAGAATATTTAAATGTCTGTATGACAGTCAAGAGTCTGGGTAAACAGGTAGTTAACGATCAAAGATGGCTTTGTTTCTTATTGAAATTTATGAATTTGTGACTTTTACTATAGGAGCAATGTACTGGAAGGACCTTCAAAGGGAAATTTGTAATTTTTTAAAGTGATTTCTTCTAATACTTCAGAGGTAATACTTTCGATACTAGCTTGAAAGCTGTCTTTGGTTGCACTCAAGCTTTTTTGGTTAATGCTATTATGCTAAAGCGTTTGACGGCATTATTAGAACTTTTGCCCTGACTGTTTCTTTGGGTAGAAGTAATTAATCAATCGAGCTTTTGTTATTATTGCGATTTGGCGACAGCTTTTGATATTATTGCAGGAACTGAGACTCTTGCTACTAGTTTAAAAGCTCTTTTACTTTGCTATCAAGTCTTTGTTGTTACTTCGACTTGATAAAAAAAGCTTTTAACTGTATTGCTGGAACTAATTCCTTTCTATGGGTAAAGCAATCAAGCAATCATGCTTTTGTTGTTATTGCAACTTATCAAAAGCTTTTGATAGTATTGTTAGAACTAGTTCTGTAAGTGGTTCTTTGGGATTCTTAAAAAGATTCTTGCTACTAGATTAACAGCTCTCTCTTACTTTGTAATCAAGCCTTTGTTGTTACTGCGGCTTGACAAAAGCTTTTAAGAGTATTGATGGAACGATTTGGTGAAAACTTTTGATAGTATAACTAGAACTAGTTCTGACTACTCTTGTTACTAGTTTAAAAGCTTTCTTACTTTGTACTAAAGATTTTGTTGATAGTGTGACTTGACAAAAGCTTTTAATAATATTGCTGGAACTAGTTCTCGTATATAGCTGAAAACTGACTTTATTGTTTTAGGGGGAGGAATTTGTCTATCTCCAAGAGTTTAATACCTTAAAGGAACAGTAGATTCCTTCAAACTAGTTACATAACTGGTTCTTTGTGTCTAGTAAAAGAAATATTGTCACCTTTATGTCATATTTAAGGCAGACAACTAAAGAGTTCTCTTTTCATTAGTCATGTTACTACAACATTTAAATCTTTTAAAGCTAATCCCCTACGGCTGCTTTAACACAGCTTTAGAAAAGCTTTCTAAACATTATCTACTGTTCTAAAGCTTTATTTTTATCCTAATAGAGCAAACTTTATAATAAACCTAGTAAACCAACTAAAATTTAGTAAAGCTTTTAAAAATCATGTTAAAAATCTTATAAAGTTTTTTGCTTAAACAGATTTTTAAGAATTTTGTAAATTTGTAGTTGCGTGTACGCAAAAATAACTGCATACCTATGGATACATAACTTAACTTACTTACATGTACATACATATTTACTTATGTAGATAATAAAGTAAATACATGTATGTAAATTGTGTGTAAAATATATATTTTTAAGCTGTCTTAAGATATGACTACTGTTTTGTCGTAAATTTTTGTTGTATGTACTGTATGTGCTTTTTTTTTTGTTCGTTTTTTTTTGGTGCAGGGTGTTTGTCTTTTACCTTTTTCTTCTGCTGTATTAAGCAACATTTAGCAAATGATGCACGTACATTTTTCAGCTGAATTTATGTTTAAAAAGGTGTGATAAATTTTTACTTTTACGATTTTATGTAGATATAAAAAACGTATTTACACACTTTATCCACAAACAATGGACTACTGTGTGTGGATTCATATAAGATCGTTGTTTAAAATGTTAAAACTTATATAAAGTATATTTATAAAGACTTTATAAGCATTTAATATTTATAATTCTCATTTAGTTTAAGGCAAAGTTCAATATATTTTAAAAATAATACATTTTCTTATCAACTTCCCATTTGTTTTAATACTTTGTTCATAAAACGTGAGGTCTTCCTTCATTAATTTTTAATAAAGTTTATTTTAAAATATGTTGTTGTTTTTGCTTTTGTTTTTTCTTAAATCTATTAAATTAGTAAAAATTTAATCTTTAAAGTTTTTTTTTTGTGTTTTTGTTTTCTAAAGAAATAATTATTTTATATAATAGTCAACGAAATGCAAAAGATTATCAGCTTAACAAAAAGACATTAAAGAAAAAATCAAGAAACTACGCATTTTATAAGTAGAGATTGATGCCTATTATTACGTTTTAAGATTAAAATTTATATTTTGCTTTAATAAATTAAATTAAATGTTTTAAAACACTTGTTGTTTTATTGTTATAGATCATATGTTGTTCTAGGTATTGTTTTTTTTTGTTGTTGTTGGCTGCTGTATTGAAATAAATTAATTATTTGTTAAACATGATTATTAAATAATTTAAGTTCAAGGTCTTAACATGTTTCTGTTTTTTTTTTGGAACCAATGATTTTGTAAAATATACTTTGTATTATTATCATATTTATACTTTTTTTTAAAAGAATGACTTTTTAAATTTGTATTAATTGTTATGAATTCCTGTTTTCCATTTTAGGGTGGTCTGGATTTAAAAGAAAATCTTGTTGCTGGTGGTGCTCCTTGGCCTTATCCCTCTGTATATCATCCCTATGATGCTGCCTTTGGTTATCCCTTTAATAGGTAAGTTTTGATGTTAAATAGATAATTATGTTAAAAAAACTATTGGAATGTAAAAGAGATGAAAATTATTAAAAATTTATAAAGGTTTTTAAGGTTTGAAAATAATTAAATGCAGGGAAAGTTAGATGATTCTGGTAAAAGATGATGGAATTTTACTTGAGTTTGCTAAGTTTTTGCTCAATTTTTGGGCATAATTTTCAGCAAAACTCGAATAAGAACATACTGACAGACAGAAAGATAGATAGATAGATAGATAGATGGATAGATAGATAGATAGATAGATAGATAGATAGATAGATAGATAGATAGATAGATAGATAGATAGATAGATAGATAGATAGATAGATAGATTGATAGATAGATAGATAGATAGATAGATAGATAGATAGATAGATAGATAGATAGATAGATAGATAGATAGATAGATAGATAGACAGACAGACAGACAGACAGACAGACAGACAGACAGACAGACAGACAGACATTAGCCGGAAAGGGCAGACAATCGTACTGACTTTAGTACAAAAACAAAAACCCATTGCGGACTAAAGAAACTAAATCAAAAGTGTTAAGAGCTCTATGAACTTCAAACCATAAATTTGTTAACCGAACTGGAATTGCCTTTAAATAAACCAAAGCGCCCTTTTAACGCCTCCAAAAACCCAAATATTTACATATATTCTTGACAACAACATCACGCACTTTCATTCAATTGTCTCTAATATTTACAAATATTTTTATAGCCATAGAGCCCCGATCATTTACTATAGTATTTCCCTACTACATAGTTTAAGAGTTCTTTTAAATAGTTTTCTCAAACCAAAAAAAGGGTTTTATTACTTTGAGGCGCCTCTTGTACAACACAAATACTTATACAAACAAGAAATAATAATAAAAAAAGAAAATAATACATTACAATTGTACTTGTAAAATGTACATTAATATTTTTTTATGGCCTTCAATGCAATGTGCATAATTTTCAACAAAAAAAAATACATACAATAAAGTGAGTGGGAGTAAAATTGAAATTGAAAAAAAAAATGTATGCCAAAGCAAAATTATTTTTTTTTAATTCAATATTCTAAACATATTAGATATGAGAAATACTTACATAGAATATTAATATTAAAATACAAAAATTTAATTATGAACCAAACGTATTGAAATAATAAGAAACAATTTGAAATCAAATGAGACAGGTACTTTTTTTTGTTAGATTTGAAGTGAATGAAAATAAAGGGAAAGGTCTGTTAAAGTAAAAACCTTTAAAATATTACTATAGTCAATGAAATTTCTAGTTAGCAGTTTAAGTTGCCCTTTACTAACTCAAATGTATAGAGTTTTTGAAAAATAACTAACATTTTTCTTAGTTTGGGAAAAAAAGTACCAAATTTCTTAAAGATTTTCTTTAAATAGAGAGCCAAAAAGTATGATTTTTGTTAAGGGAGCGTTTTGCTTTCAATATTTATAATTTTTTATTTAAAAAACATGCTTAGTTTTATTTAAAATCTCTTTTGTTTGTGGATTTAAACCAAATAGTACTTTATTTGGTACTTTTTGGTAAAATGTGTTTAAATATGTTTTCCTTTGTTATATGCAGACCAATTTTCGTCATACTTGTGTCCCATATTAGTATCTAGCAAATTTTAAATGAAGATTGTTATTAGTAGTTTATTTGCTGCCTAACGCTTTAATTGTGTATTTGCTTATATTTGATAAATTTCTCAAATTTTTACAATTTAATTTTTAATAATATTAAGAGCCTAGCTGTAAGGATTTTCTTAAGAAAGTGTATTTATTTTAATATTTAAAATTTTTTATTTAAAGAAATCCTTATTTTTCTACAAAATCTCTTTTAATGCTCGATTTAAACCAAATAGTACCTAATTTGGTACTTTTTGTTAAAATGTGTTTAAATAGGTTTGCCTTTGTTATTTATAGACCAATTTTTGTAATTGTTGTGTCCCCTATTATTGTCCAGCTAATTTAAATAGAATTTAAACATTTCTGTTTCATTGAGCGCCTAACGCTTTAATTGTGTTTTTGCTAAATTTCCTAATAACTCATTAAAAATTTGAATTATTAAAAAAAAGCTTTATACAATTTTTGGCTTATCTTATGAAATGTGACTAAGCTTTTTTTTCATAACAATTTAAGAATGAAACCATTGGGTTTAAAGTTTAAATTTTTGCTGCACAATGGGTTGTGTTATGAGAAAAATATAAGAATGCCTTAGTTGGTAGTTTTTTTTAGTTTTAAAATCGACAAGTTTAAGTATAAGAATTGAAATGATTAAAAGAAATTCTTTGACTGGCACAGTGGGTTGTTTTATAACAAAAATTTTGTAAAAAAATTAACAATTTGAAATCTCTGTAAAGTACTTTTTTTTACTACTTTAAGCTTAAATTGTAAACAACAAGCTTCTATTTATTGTTTAAGAAACAAAAAAACACACAGCAGCAGTTTTTGCGTCAATTTCGTAATAAAAATTTCATTCATAAATTGCATTATACAACATTCAATCAAACATTTAACAAAAAAAATTTTAACAAAATTTTAACTTTTTTTGCATTTTTTACATCCCATACAAATGACCGTTACTTCCTCTCTTAGTTGCATTTTAAATAACAGTAATAATTTGTTGGTACACAATTTTTTTTTCTATAATTTAATAAAAAATAAATACAAAAACAAAACTTATTAATTTCCAGCTTAAGAAGGCAATTAAACAATTTAAAACATCCCGTCACGTAGAGACAGACAATGTAAGAAAAAAATACATTACCGCATGATACTGAGACTCATACATAACGACGGACGGACGGACGGACGGACAGACAGACAGACAGACAGACAGACGGACAGATAGACAGACAGTCAGTTAGCCCAAGTGTTTGTCACAACAACTGAACTCTTGCCAAGTATAAAACCTAAAACAAGTTGAGTCATGTTGGTTGAAAAAAAATATTAAAATAAAATTTATATTTAACAAGTAGAAGCTTCAGCTATAAAATAATGAATGAAAACAACAGCAACAAAAAAAAAAAAAAAATACAAAATTGCAGGTGTTAATTAAAATTCTAATTAATAACGAAACATACTTTTTTAATAAACACAATTTTTGTTATTGTTGTTGTTGCTAAAAAACATAGCAACATTTTATGTTGAAGTCTTTTTGTCTTTAGTATGGATGTAAAATGGTAACGTCCTTATTAACAGGACCTTTTAAGCCATTATTTGCACTTGCTGCTGCTTTGTTGTAGCTGATAACTTTCATTTTACAATAATTGTTGGCTGTTGCATGCCACTTTTTGTTTCGTTTTTTTTTGGTGTACAGCAATTGTGGATATGTTGTGGATTGTTTAAATATTGATATGAAAATTGTTGGTTCGTTGTCATGGTATCATCGTTGCCGTCCATAACGTTGCCTAAAAGCCACAAAATTGCTCTATAAAAATGACCACCAAACATAAAAGCATGTGTAAATTGAGCAACAACAGCTACAACAATAACATTGTTGTAAAAACAATAACATAAATTAAGGCTTTATTAAAATTTTAAACGAAAGAAAAAAAAGTAATTTTGCAACACAGACATACAAGTTGCAAGTAACACAATTATTAATGGCAGACAATTAAAATTGTAGCAAATTTTATGGCAACAGCAAAGCACAACAACAACAAAAGTGTAAAATGATCAACAAGACCATTAAAACAACACACGTGCTAATTATGGCAGCAACAATTATAAACAAGAAAACACATTAAACTCAAATTTAAACAAGAAATTTAAGAAAAAAACCAAAATGTTTACAACTTTTTTTAAAATTCTCTCTTTTAACTTGAAAAGCTTTATAAAGCAGGATCACTTCCCTTTAGTTAGCTTTATAAAGCTCTCCCTCAAAAAGCTTTCTTGAACATAAAACTAATTTCTCTTTTTTCCTTTTTTTCCTCTCTTTCCAGTTATGGCATGGATTTAAATGGTGCCCGCCGTAAAAATGCCACCCGTGAAACAACCTCAACGCTGAAAGCCTGGTTAAATGAGCATAAAAAGAATCCCTATCCCACAAAAGGAGAGAAAATCATGTTGGCGATTATAACGAAAATGACTTTGACACAAGTGTCGACGTGGTTTGCCAATGCTCGCAGAAGACTGAAGAAAGAAAATAAAATGACTTGGGAGCCACGAAATCGGGTAGATGATGATGATTGTAATCTAGATGATGATGATCATAAGAGTACAGATGATAATGATGTATTAGGTAAGTGTTGGAAATAACAAAAAACAAGAAAACTTTACTCTTAATAAGGATCTCTAGCTCCTTAAAATTACTATTTGTTAAACCTATTTTAAACAAAATTTTCTTTGCGTTTTCTTTTCTGTTCCATTATAGATGCCAAAGATTCTGGTTTGGGTTCTAATGAAGACAAAGATCATCGCATGCCTGGTGAGGGTAACAGTGAATGGTCTGGCTCTCGTCCTGGCTCACCCAATGGTTCTCCCGATCTTTACGATCGTCCCGGCATGATGCCCGGTGGCGGTCATCCTTTGTTTCATCCCGCCGCCTTGCATCACTTTAGACCACCAGCAGGTTCACCACCCGACATTGCCGCCTACCACCATCACCAACAGCAGCTGTTGCAGCAACATCATCAGGCCCAACAGAATCAATTGCATGCGGCCGGCGCTGCCAGCACCACAGCTAGTCTAGCGGCGAAACCACGCATTTGGTCTTTGGCGGATATGGCCTCGAAAGATGCCAACAAAGAGGGTAATAAAGACAGTCCTCCCGGTAGTGATTTGCCACCCACACATCCTGCTTTCTATGGTCATCCGGGTCAACATCCTAGTCCGGGTAAGATTTTATCACCCTTGGCCGCCAGAATACCAAATTATTCGCCCTATGTTAGGCCTGATTTGTATAGAGGCTTTTATGGACCAGCTGCAGCGGCAGCGGCTCATTTGGGTGCCCCCTCACAGGAATTTCTAGAACACCAAAGAACTTTTGGCGCTAGTTTAGCGGCTCACAATGGCCTGGGCATGAATCCTTTGCTATGGAAAGCAGCCGTTACCGGAGCCGCAGCAGGAGCACCACATTTTAACCCGCTTAGTTTAACCACTGGTCAACAGCATCATCAAGCCCATCAAGTCCCGCCTTCAGGAGCCTCACCCTCCGGTTCTAGCACCACCTCATCCATGGGCTGTGATGTGGTACAGACCTCACCCTCCGCACAGCCTAGTTTGCATCATAGTTTAGGACCCATTTCGCACAATTCCAATTCGTCTTCGTCCTCATCGAACTCTGGCAAATTATCGCCCGGCAAGCCATGACAATCGCGCCTAGATACGCCTCCACCCACACAACAAACCCAACAACCAATACATCATAATCAAGAACAAAACAATAAACCAAATAATGTCAACACAACTTCGCCGCTCTCAGCGTTTCGTTCTCTGATCGCTTTCAGAGAGCAACATTTGCAGCAACAAACACCTAAGCTTTCTCTCAGACCTTAAATTTTGCTAAAATTTTAAGAAATTAAACAGGAAAAATTATAGTAAAAACATTATATAAAAAAAAATTATTAATTAAAACAACAATTTTGGACAATAATTAAAAATGTGATGTGAAAAGAAATTTTAGGAAAAAAAACCCAACATAAAAATTTAAAAAAAATTAAGCAAATAAATTACAAAAAAACAGGTGTTTGTTAAAAAAAAAAAACTTTTAAAAAGCTGCTAAACAGCCCGCTAAGGAAGGTATAAAATAAGGTATAAAACTTATGCAAACAGAGCTTATAGAGTAATTTTAAATTTGCCGTGAAAATAAAACAAGTATTAAACAACAACAACAAGCCACTATATATAAAAAAAAATTGTAAATAATATTTATAGGTTTATAAAAAGGGAAATCGAGAAAAGGCTTAAAATACCATAATTTTAATAAAAAGTGGATGGTACATATCAAGAAACTGTAAGGCAAATATAAATATAAAGAAAATCGGAAAAATATTGAAATAGAAACAGAAACAAATATCTATTTTTTAAATAATTTATAGGTTGTTTTTTATTGTTTTAAGTTTTATTTTTTTTTTTAATATCATTTAGAATTTTTTATTATAAATTTGTTCCTGTAAAATAATTTTGAATTAACAAAACAAAATAAAAAAACCAACAATAATTTATTTTTAAAATTAAGCACAAAATAGAAGAGAAATTTCTCTACTTTTATTCTTATATATAAACTATATAATATATAATAATTTTTTTGAGTGTAGACCCTTTAAATATATATATAAAATAAATCTTTAAGTTGGCTGTAAAATGTGTAAATATTTATAGAAATCCCTTATACTAAAGGAAGCAAAAATCACTAATTTTATAAAATTTAGTATTAAATATTAAACAAAATTAATTATAAAACTAAATAATAATAAAATAAACAAAACAAAACCACTAACAACATGACTATTATAAGCTTATTATGTTAAATTAAAAAAAAAAAATAATTAAAAATTTAAAAAAATAAATAAATTTGCTAAAATTTTGAAAAAAAAACACACATTTTGTATAAATATTTCCAAAAAAAAACAAATGTCAAGAAAAGTCCAAAAGGGAAAAAAACAATTGGCAAAAGTTAAAACACAAAGCGCAATACAAAAATAAAAGTGTAATTTCAATGTAAGTACTTATGTATTAATGTAAAATTTATAATTTTTTTGTAAGTAGTAATACAATCTTCTGGAAAACTAAAATAAAATTAAAAAAAAAAATACAAGAAAAGTTAAAAAAAATAAACAAAAAACCAGCATTATTCATTTAAAAGAAAACAAAAGAAATAACAAACAAATAGTATTTATAACAAATTACCAAGACATTTAACAAAAGAAAACACTTACTCACACACTATAACATGGTATTCACACTTGTCATTATTACACCTCATAAACTAAAAACTACCCCCTCCCCCTACACTACACAATAATTTTCCTTTTCTCCCCCTCCCCTACTCCCTTCGCTCTCCTAACACACAAACACTTACATATAATTGTCTAACAGTTACACTGTGAACAAAAAAAAAAAAAAAAAAAAAATCAGTGCAACTGTTTGTTAATATTATCATAAAGTAATCGTAAATATAACTAAATATATATATAATTATAATTATTATATATACAAATAATTATAAAATATTTAATATTACAATTAACAATAAAAAAATATGTTAATAATGGTATAAAAAAAAATAAAATTATATATAAAACTAAACACTGAGAAAAAAAAATAATAATAATGGAAAAAAATGAAACACAAACTTAGTTGCAATATAAAAAAAAACGAAAAGAAAAAAATAATTAATCCTTAAATAAAGAAAACAACAAATTATTAAAAAAAAATTCACGTGGTAGTTTTAATTATTCATGTGGGTTATTAAAAAAAAAAAAATTATGGGTGAAATTTAGAAGAAACTTTGGGCCTCCACAAACTCAGTCTATCCTAACGGTTCAAAAACTAGATCGACAGAACCGGTCGGAACTTTTAATACATTTGATTAGATTCATTAAGGACAGATTTTTGAAGCATTCCATATCATTTGTCTGTGCTTTTTTGGGGGCGGGGGAAGGTTTTGTTTTGCCACATAGAAGGTGTACCCATATTTCTTTGTCTAACCAATATCTGCAATAACTAATACGGACGATTTTATATACGTCCGATCATAAAGTGGCCAGTGAATATGACTATAAAAGACCAAGATTTTTTTTTTGTGAAAATCATGTCTAAGCTACAGTATGGGCTATAGTCTGGTCTATATAGATTTATAGACTAGCCTATAGTCTAGTATATAATCGAGTCTATAGACTTGTCTAGAGTCTAGTCTATATAGAGTCCAGCCTATAGTCTAATGTATTGTCTAGCCTAGCCTAGTCTATAATCTAGTCTAAAATATGGTATATAATCTAGTCTAGAGTATGATATTTAATCTTGTCTATAGTCTTGTCTAGAGTCTAGCATGTAATCCGGTCCATAGTCTAATCCATAGTCTAGTCCATAGTCTCGTCTATAGTCTCGTCTATAGTCTAGGCCATAGTCTAGTCTATAGTCTAGTCTATAGCCTAGTCTATAGTCTAGTCTATAGTCAAGTCTATATTCTAGTCTATAGTCTAGTCTATAGTCTAGTCTATAGTCTAGTCTATAGTCTAGTCTATAGTCTAGTCTAGATTCTAGTCTATATAGAGTCCAGCTTATAGTCTAGTGTATTGTCTAGCCTAGCCTAGTCTATAATCTAGTCTAAAATATAGTATATAATCTTTTCTATAATCTAGTCTAGAGTATGATCTTTAATCTAGTCTATAGTCTTGTCTAGAGTCTAGCATGTAATCCGGTCCACAGTCTAGTCTATAGTCTAGTCTATAGTCTAGTCTATTGTCTAGTCTATAGTCTAGTCTATAGTCTAGTCTATAGTCTAGTCTATAGTCTAGTCTATAGTAGTCTAGTCTAGTCTATAGTCTAGTCTATAGTCTAGTCTATAGTCTAGTCTATAGTCTAGTCTATAGTCTAGTCTATAGTCTAGTCTATAGTCTAGTCTATAGTCTAGTCTATAGTCTAGTCTATAGTCTAGTCTATAGTCTAGTCTATAGTCTAGTCTATAGTCTAGTCTATAGTCTAGTCTATAGTCTAGTCTATAGTCTAGTCTAGTCTATAGTCTAGTCTATAGTCTAGTCTATAGTCTAGTCTATAGTCTAGTCTATAGTCTAGTCTATAGTCTAGTCTATAGTCTAGTCTAGTCTAGTCTAGTCTAGTCTATAGTCTAGTCTATAGTCTAGTCTATAGCCTAGTCTATAGTCTAGTCTATAGTCTAGTCTATAGTCTAGTCTATAGTCTAGTCTATAGTCTAGTCTATACTCTAGTCTATAGTCTAGTCAATAGTCTAGTCTATAGTCTAGTCTATAGTCTAGTCTGTAGTCTAGTCTATAGTCTAGTCTATAGTCTAGTCTATAGTCTAGTCTATAGTCTAGTCTAGTCTAGTAGTCTAGTCTAGTCTATAGTCTAGTCTATAGTCTAGTCTATAGTCTAGTCTATAGTCTAGTCTAGTCTATAGTCTAGTCTATAGTCTAGTCTATAGTCTAGTCTATAGTCTAGTCTATAGTCTAATCTATAGTCTAGTCTATAGTCTAGTCTATAGTCTAGTCTATAGTCTAGTCTATAGTCTAGTCTATAGTCTAGTCTATATTCTAATCTATAGTTTAGTCTATAGTCTAGTCTATAGTCTAGTCTATAGTCTAGTCTATAGTCTAGTCTATAGTCTAGTCTATAGTCTAGTCTATAGTCTAGTCTATAGTCTAGTATATAGTCTAGTCTATAGTCTAGTCTGTAGTCTAGCCTTAGTCAAGTCTATAGTCTAGACTATAGTATAGTCTTTAGTCTAGTAGTCTTTATGCTCTAATCTTTAGTCTGGTCTATGAACGAGACTTTAGACGAGTGATCTATTAACTATTATGTGCACTATGTGTCAAAAGTTTATAAGTCCAACAATGTCGGATCGGAATAGTGTTGAATTCATGTATGATCTATCTAATAAACCCAATGTTAAAAAAATAGTTTTTCAGCTTCTTGAATACGTACAGTATAGGGCGAAGAAACTGGGACAGTCAGATATTCTCCCCTTAATTCATTGAACTGCTTTCGCCATGAGAATTGTGTGGTCGTATTGTAGTGTATAATTACTTAAGAAAAATCTATTTATTCATCTAACAACAATATCTACAAAAGTTACAAAGCTCTTTATTGTTCACTAAAACGCTAATAGTATTGAATTGCCTAACATTAAGCCCTTAATAAACCTACATCAGATCTGATTAGTTAGGGATACATAAACATTGACTACCGTTCAAAATGTATGTAAATGAACAAAAAAATTAAAAAAAAAATAAATATTTGAATGAATTTAATGAAAATCGATAACTAGCAACATGTCTCTGGTAACTAAACAGCAATTATTTAAATGTAAACTATAGAAGAAATCAACTACAACAAGTACAACAACTATAAGTTGGTGTTATTTATAAGCAGCAGCAACATAAAATCAAAAGAGAAGTGGAAAAAAATGTATAAGAAGTGGAAAAAAAATTCGAAAAAAATTTACTTAAAATATCAAATTACGCGCATGTTTTAGAAATTTGCAAAAACAATGTTAAACAACAATTTTGTTTTAATTTTTTTCTTCTTGTTGTCGTTGTTGTTGTTTCTTTGTTGGTTAGTAGTTGTTGTTTTTTTTTAATATTGTTTCTTAGTTTTAAATACATTAATTGCAAAACAAGCAAACGCACCAAAAAACTACATTCTGTTCATTGCTTTTCAAATACACACAAGTTGTTGTTGTTTTTATTCTTCATAAAAAAATAAATAATTTGCTTATAAAAAATATAAAACGCTGACGTTGAACTATTTAATAATGTTTACGATTACTATGTACAATAATTTCTGTGTTGTACTCTACATATAAATGTCACATGCATTATATCGAAAGAAGCAATGTGGAGGGCACGAATAATCGAAAATTTAATATTGTATTAAGTTAATTATATATTTATCCAGATCCTCTTATAATACTATTTCAGAGAGTTCAGAGTACTTGTTGCTTGGATGTACATTCGTCA